GGAATAGATTAGAATGCAGAATAGAATGCAGAACAGAACAGAATAGAGAATAGAATAGAAAATAGAATGCAGAATAAAATAGAATAGAATAGATATTAGAATGCAGAATAGAATGCAGAACAGAACACAACAGAAGAGAATGTAGAATGGAACAGAACAGAACAGAACAGAATGAATAGAACAAGAAGCAATGAATGGAAACTAATCAAGGAGAGAACCAACCTAGAACTCAGGAGAAATTTCCCGATGGAACAATTAATCAGTGCAACTGCTTGCCTCCTGAAGTTATGGGTGCTCCGTCACTAGAGGTTTTTAAGAAGAGATTGGACAGCCATTTGTCTGAAATGCTATAGGGTCTCCTGCTTGAGCAGGGGGTTGGACTAGAAGTCCTCTAAGGTCCCTTCCAACTCTTATTCTCCTCTTTTGACCGTTTGATGCTGCAAGCGAGACCTGGAGATGGGCAATTCCGCAGGTGCTGGCATTGCAAAGTTTTCCCCTCCAGTTTGGCATTAAATAGCCCCACTCCTGTACTGCTTATCTGACCCTATTTGGAGTCAGTCCCAGGTCACTGGCTCCTGTTGAACAAAAAGGCACCTCCCCAATGGAGGTCAGAAAAGTCAAGATGGCAATGATGGCCACTATCTTGACTTTTGGATTGCCCCTTCCCTGAGATGGGCCTGTTTACTATAAATTCTAAACTATAAAATCCTTTGAGGCTGACCTTTCAAGATGTCAGCATAAGAAGAAAACTATAACATGGATGCCAGAATATCTAGGATAACATCAGTCTGTTTCTACTCCTGGGCTGGGAATGACACAAAAGGAATGTCAAAGAGACATGGCTGAAAAAGGAGCCTTCCTTTTTAAAAATTTCTGCCAGTTTTTTATACATAGACAAAACAAACGCATCAGTGGACATTTGTATTATAGGGTGTGGGTTCAAAAAATAGGTGCCTGAAAAGGAGACTGCGAGTTCTAGTCCCACTTTTTAGGTACAAAAGATGGCTGGGTGACTTTGATTCAATCACCAGGATTCTGTGAGTTCTACTCCTAGCCTTAGGCATGAAAGCCAACTGGGTGACTTTGAGCCAATCCCTCTCTTTCAACCCAACCCACCTCACAGGGCTGTTATTGTGTGGAAAATAGGAGGAGAAAGAACATTATTATTCACTGCTTTGAGTTAATTATAAACATAACCAAGGTGGGATATACATAAATAAATAAAACACTTGCACAAAAAGGTATTTTACTGGGGGAAGTTGTGAACAATACCGCATCTCTGAAATCAGGTTATACAAAATGGGGTGATCCAGCCACAGAAATGGGACTAAGAAATGGGATCCTGAACCATTTCCTATTCTGGTGAATAAACTTCCCAAACTGCAGGAATCACCTCCCCCCACCACACCCTTGGATTGGCACATTATGAAAGATAATCAGACTGTTCCATCGTCGAATGGCCTCGTTTTTCTCATCTCTGCTATTAAGAAAAATGCAACATTCATTTTTCTATGAAGTTCTTACACATTCTCAAGCAAACAATATGAATCTGATTTCAGGTCTGGAAAAATGAGACAGCAAGCAAAGTCAAAAGGGCTTTGACCTAAACATGGAATCTCGGCTTCAACGAAAACCTTGAAAATCTCAACCTTGTCCAGTACAGCTCTCAGGTAGCTGGGTGAGAGGACACGAGAGGGAAGAAGAAGGATGGGTGGGTGGATGGAAAGAGAGATGGATGAAGCGATGGGTGATTAGATAAGAGATAGACAGACAGATGGAGAGAGGATTGGTAGATTGATAATGTGAGAAGATGGGATTGCTAAAAAATGGAGGGAGGGAGGGAGGGAGGGAGGATAGAAATAGAGAGAGAGGATGGGCAGATTGATGAATAGATGACAGATAAGTGAAAAGATAGATGATAGAGATAGATAGACAGACAGACAGACATAGACAGATACGATAAATAAATAGACAGACAGACAGACAGACAGGTGGGATTCTACAGGTTCGCACCTATTCTCTAGAACTGGTTGTTAACATTCTAAGCAGTTCGGAGAACTGGTTGTTAGAAGAAATTACTGGCCTAATCCTGTAAGGAAGACAGGAAGGAAACATTCTGGTGTTGCTTACAGAAACTGCCTCTCCATTAACCCTTATTACATTCTTGGCTTGTGTGGAGTGACCATTCAAAGTTACAATGGCACTGAAAAAAGTGACTTATGACCATTTTTCACACTTACGACTGTTGCAGCAACCCCACAGTCACGAGAGGCCAGGCAAGGAGAAGCATGCCTCAATGTGAATGATATTGAGTTGGCCACGCCCAGCCAGTCACTTGACCACCAAGCCACGCCCAGCAACTAAACCATGCCCACAGAACTGGTTGTTAAATAAATTGAATTCCACCCCTGCAGACAGACATAGATAACGATAAATAAATAGATGGACAGAGATAGAGAGAGAGAGAGAGACAGAGACAGAGATAGACAGACAGACTGACTGACATAGACAGATACGATAAATAGATAGATGGACAGACAGATAGACAGATATAGATAGATAAAAAGAAAGAAAGAAAGAAAGAAAGAAAGAAAGAAAGAAAGAAAGAAAG